TTTTTCTCGAATAACTCGAAACGGTACAGTTGACTATTAAAACATCATATCAAATCAGCAAAGAGTCTGCATACCTTCCACTATCAGTAATGAAATTCGTTTCTGATAGGAAACCTATTGAATTCAGTTAGCAAATTTCCCGAAGTCGTTCAAGAATTTCTTCTCTGATTTAATGTTTTCATAAAGTTTGTCTATGCAGCACTTTTGCTAGGATACGATCATTTATTTAGAGACACCTGACCTGATAACAGGATATCCAAACGTGTGCACAACCTGCATCTTTATCCATCAGATTGCAGATCTGTGGCAGTTTTCAGCCTGGTCTACTGTACGCTATACTCTGTTGCTCGGCTTTGATGGTCCCAATCTATGCCATAATGTTTGCCTGTCGATGGAAAATTCACTCGTTATTAAAAAGGGAAACGTACTCCGAGCAAACGAAGCGTTCTGTGAAACAGCTAGTCAAGGTCAGTTCATTACTGCGTGTCAATTGAAGAGAAGGAGTACGAGATTTGTCCTTCATATTTCGGGATTGGGCAACCCTAGTGATGCAATCTGGCAACTGACTATCGTAAAGTTTGACTTGTGTACGTGCCTAAAAAAACCTAATTTTAAAGATTCATTTAGACCAAAAAATAGACTTAAATCGCGAACATTCTCGTGCGATAATTTTTCACAATTTCCGACGTGGATTAACTCAGCAGTGCATGGATTAACTTAGTTCAATTTTTGGCGATATAGGACTAGTGTTTGTCGATGGTATGGTGAATTCATCTGCGGTCGTAGTGCATTTCAAAACGACCTTCGCGGAGGTCGTCCAAAATCAGTTGTTGTTCCGATGCTGTGCGCAAACTAATATTGCAAGATTGTCATGTGACCTATCGTGAGATTGGGACAACCTTAGGCATAAGAGGACTAGCATACATTCGAATTGCATGAACATTTGACTGTCAAAAGACTTTGTTCGAAAAAAAAAACCCTCCATCCACGATGACAGTGCGATCTGCTACACATCGGCTCAAACAATTGCATTTTTGAGCACTCAAAACATCGATTTGATGAGTATTCCGCCATAGAACTTTGGCTTTGGCACCGAATGACTTCTTTTCGTTCCCGTACGTATAAAAAAAGAGAGGTGGACGCTTTTCGACACTTAAAGAGCGATTCATGCGTTCAGAATGCATGTTTTGGAGACACCTCAATTAGAGTGGCAAAAGTGCTTCGAAAATTGGTTTGAGCGCATGCAAAAGTGTATAGGTCTTAATGGGGAAAATTTTGAAAGACAGTAAAGCAATTTTCAATGTTTAATTTTTTTTGTTCTCTAGTCGAAATATACAAGACAACCTACTTACCGTGAGTCGAAGGAGCCACTTGTGGTGGAATTCAAGCTCGGGACTTGCCCTTTCATGCAGGCTTCAGCTCTGCACTTGATCTATACAAAACGTTCTTTCTTAGAGGCACTCGATACAATGTTCCGTAGTAACGATAAGGTGAAGGTTTGACCTGTCCCTCTTCGAAGATGGGCTTCAGCAGCAGTGGCCTTAATCGAACTCCTAAACAAGCACGCGTTGTGTATAGGGAAACTGTTGTAGCAATAAAAATACAAGGAAATGGTAGCCAGATGTATATAGAACACATCTGAGTAGCGTCCATATATATCAATTTCACACAAACTACCAGCAGTAAGGAAAAAGTTGTACTGTTACTACCACTTTGACAGATAGTTTAATAACGGCCTACATCA